CTTCCTTGAAAGATTAAAATTTCTTCCGAATTGTCAATTGTCACAAATGATGCAACCCTTGTGTTTAAGGAGTATCTTGTAATAACAGTACCACATTCTAACTCCCCACTAAAAGGTCCTATCCCTAAACTCCTATTCTGAAATGGAACAGGCTGGGGACAATATATTTTACTTGTGAGTATGAGCGTGCATGTGGGCCTATGAGAAGGAGACAGAGGGAAAAAGAGAGAGAGAGAGAGAGTTGGGGGGGGGGAGATCTGTTGGTATATTGCATATACCTTCTACTTTGTGGGAAATGGAAAACTGTGTATTTGTTTCCAAGATAGTCTCTAGATTACAGACCCTAGCTGACACAGAATAGCTAGAGCAAGCTTTGGATAAAACTGAGTTTTGATTAGACTTGTAGCATCCTGGCCAAAATATGTCAAAACTGACCAGTACTATCCTGCCATTAATAGAACAGGCTGCACGTGGCACAGGTTCAACAAAGGCTGGTAGTCTAGCCTACACTTTCTATTACTAAATGTGAGGGAAAGTAGAACGACTGCAGGAAGACAACATATGAGTTCTGTATGAATAAGCAGTACACAGATTAATCTCTCAGTGGAATGAATGGAAAGTGGATATAAGGAAAAAGGATGTGGAAACTGTTTGGAATAGAGTGAAAAAGAATTATAATACAGAATGCCACAGAAGCATGTGAATTTAAGGTATGAGATGTATGGAAAAGTTTACCTGGTAGAATAACAAAGAAGGAAGAGGCCGTTGATGAGAAAAATCCATATAAGAGAATGCTGCAAAAATTAGGATGAGAGGAAATATATTGTGTACTATGTACAGAAAGAAGATTTGCAGAGAATGTAGTCAAAGAGCAAGGAACAGTTAAAAGAGGGAGAAAAAATGCAGAGTGTTTTAAGGAAATTAAAAAAATGTTTTGAAAATGGCAGAAGAGGGCTAGACAAGAACACTGCAGCAGAATATTGAAATTAAATGTGATGAAATTATTTGGGATGAAAATGAAGTGAGGGATTGCTAGAAGGGATAGGAGTGATAGTGGTATATCAAAGAGTGGAAATGAAATGAATGCTATAAAAATGTCCAAGAAAATAATTGATAAAAATTAAATCATAAATTATGTGAGAATATGGTAAAGCTGCAGGTGTAGATGATATAACTAGAGAAATGTTAAAATATGGATATGATTTGCTTATAGAGTGACTGTGAGACTTGGTTAACATGTGCATGTGAAAACCACATCTGTAGCTGACAATTGGAGGACAGCCGTGGCTATTCCTCTACACAAAAGGAAAGATAGGATAAGCTAATGGAAAAACTGTAAGGGGATTAGTTTGGTAAGTATGCCTGGAAAGGTATCTGCCATAATTCAAACTGAAAGGGAACAGGAGATGGTAATGAAGACATTTTTAAAGTGCAATACAAACCAGATTCTTGCTCTTCAGCAAATCAGTGAGAAATGTGAATGTGAGAAGTAACATTATTTGTTTGATTTAGAAAAAGTATGGTAAAGCGAACATGCTTGAATTATAGAATGTTTCCATTCATATGAAGCTGAAGGCTGGTTGTTAAACGGGATAAGAGCGGTATTTAATTGAAGTAACGTATATGGGGGAAATGCAACGCTTAGCAAATGGGTCAGCATTGGAGTAAGACAAGGACATGTGATTAGTTGTTTAATCTGTTTATAAAGTATAAGGAATGCTTGTGGTGAGGAGCATTGTTGAGGACATGAAGGTATGTGCAGTTTTGCACAAAGCTATTGCTGTGTTGTTGGCTGAAACCTGAGTGATTTGTTGTGAATGTTAGGTAGATTATTTGGATCTATGGATCTGAAAAGTAATGTATCAGTGATCAGGGTACTTGATTTTGACAGGGAAAAGATTGTAATATACATATAAATGGCAACAAATTAAAGTAAGTAGACAAATTTGTGTACTGTGGTGGAATGTTTACGAAAAATAATTGAGAAATTTTGAGACGTATACACACAGATAGAAAGGCCGTGGTAGTATGTCAACTATGATATTTTATGATTTGTATTCTTTTAAAATTTTATTTAATAAAAATTACACATATCAAGAGCAGCATTAAAGCAGGGATATGATTACCTACTTCCTCTACCCATCCCAGTTCACCCTAGCCCAGAAACAGAGTTCATGCTAATGGAGATGAGGGAGAATTAAGTCTTTAGCATGACACTTGAGGTGTGTAAATCTCACTATGTATCTCTAAGTGCTAAGACCGGCCTTTTTCTAGAAAACAAAATTAAAAGGGCTAAACAAACAAGCCACCTACACGCGCTCTCTACACGCCGCTGCTTGTAGAGTAGCGCTAAAGGCGTTGACGCGAAGGGCTGCTCGGCCTCGGATGCCTCTTAGCCACGCCCCTCTGACTTCTGGCCAAATTCGCGGAGGCTCAGGAACTTTCTGCTTACGTTTTTTGAACGGTTGCGCCCGTCCTGCGCATGTCATTTCCGCCCTCTTCCGGAAGAGGAGGCGAAAGGAGCCAAATTTGATTTTGCAACCTAGTACTGTAAGGTGGATTCTGGAAATCAACTGGTTGTCTTTTTTTATTATTATCAGAGGACTTGAACCCGGCTGCGATACGGAGAGCGCCGTCTCCCCCCACTCTGATCCCCGGGACGGTGGAGGAAAGAATCCTCGTGGAACCGTCTTTGGGTGCGTAGGTGGGATAACGTGAAAGTCCTGCCGAGGAGCTCATGGTGGACGTGGGCAAATCGAGCCCTCCCTCATGCTCCCCCTCCGTTGTGGGGCCGCCTTCCTTTGACCGTCTGGGGAAACCACACGGACCCACCGCCCCCTTTGCCAGGCCGGTTTTGCTGAGACAGACCGGGTACCCAAGGAAATTTTGCGGAGAACCGAGGTCTCTCTCAAGTCCTAAATTCGGGAGAGCCTCAGCACATCGATCTGGTTCTTGTTGAGTCCTTCTGATATGTTGGCTTTACTAAATACTGTACTTCTCTGTTTCTCTTTTAGCGTTTTCCAGCTTCCCACAAGGAGGGTAGGCTTTGTTTCTCAGCGATAGCTGAGTGACAAAGTCTCTATGCTTCCAAAGGGGAAATGCCCCTGACTTGTTTGCTGGATAGTCACAGTCGTCCTGTTGAGCATCCACATTATGAGTTGCACAGTCTTCTGTTCTGCGTTATAGGTTGCCCAGTTAGGAAATTGGATGCAACGGTGAAATAATGCCAGTTGAGAATGGGACAGGATGCTTTGTACATCAGTTGCAGCTTGGAAGGAGAGGAAGACAATTTTGAAAAGTGACATGCTTATTGATTTTAAATGTTTTATAGATTTTATGTTCATATTTGTAAAAGCCCTGGTGAAGCTGATAAATCAATACAGAATAATGCTGAACTTTAGGGTTAGGGTTATTCAGTCTCCGGTCATCAAACACAACATGAAGTACTGAGTCATTGATATGGGCTGTTCTATTTTGGATGTTCAAATTTAATTCCACAAAGTATAGATGTGTGATAGAAGTACTGGATAGATTTACCTGTAGGACTATTTTCCTAAAGCCTTTTAAAAGTGGTGTTTCCCTTTCTAGAAGAAGTTATTCCATACCTGATCCATACATTGTTCTTTTGAAGTTATAGATCATGCCTATCCGTGCCCATTGTACCATCTGTTCTGATTTCTTTGACAATGAGACGGATGTTGCAGCTATTCACTGTGGACATACTTTCCATCATTTGTGGTGAGTATATGAATAAAATTGGCGTTAGATGTTGTTAAAGAACTGAGGTGTTTTTCTTGAATATATTGTTTTTACCACCATTGTTTTTCACCTTATTTCTGCATATATAGTACAGTTGAAATCTTGTTCTTTAATAAGATTGATCAATGGCATTAAGGCATATTGTTGAATAGTTTGTGTTTAGGAAAGATAAATTGATAGATCACTAAGTTTTTATGTCTGTACTTTTATCATCCCAGAAATGTGTCTTATGGAGGTTATGACAAATTGAAGATGTAAACAAAAATTATCTACATTTTTAATATTTTTGGTTTATTATAAATCTGAAATCCCTTTCTTTTGGCACTTTGTAACTTTTATTTTTCTTATTCTCTTGTGTCAGAAATATTAAGTAAGTCGTATTCAAGATTCTGAAAATTCTGTAAGAGCCGGTATTAACATAGGCTCATTACTGAGTCATTTCAAAGTTAATGTTTATAGTGACACAGTTACATATTTTTGAATGCAAAATTTATGCACATTTTCTAAGGATCTGTCAGAAATAACATTTCCATGCAACTTATGTATTCCAAAGACATATTTATATCCATTTATCTTAAAATAATACACATCATGTTTTTTAAATAATTTCAGAAGTACTTTATATTTGCATCCCTCAAAATCTAGCATGCTATACTGCTCTTATGGAAATATTGATATTGGCAAACTGTCCACTGCTGTGATACTGTAAACTGTAATTTCAGCGAAATCTGAACAGTTTTGAAAGCTATAGTATATATACTGGTGCAGTACTTTGACTAGGTGGAAACTGTTCTGGTTTTACTTTGAACTCATTAGGACTCATATAAAAATAAATATCCGTTGGATTTGCTGCACTGTGTATCACTCAAGGATGCAGGTCTTGCAATCTAGTTAGTTTTTAAAAAGTATGGCTCTCTCTAGAACAGTTTGCATAGTGTTGCCATGGGTATGTACTTTTTTTTTTCCAGTTTGCACAACACACTGAACATAAAATAACCGCATAGCCTAAGTATACACAATACCGTAGGCTAAAATATGGTTGACTAGCTTGTGCTTTATTGTGCTATACAAACAGAGCCATAGCATTGTTTGTTTGGACTTGATTGTTTTTCCTAGTTAATACTTTTTAACAAGATCCAATATTTTTGTCATCCACTCCCTCTGTCATCTATTTGTCTTAGTCTCATCCAGTGGTTTGATACTGCGCCAAGTCGGACTTGTCCACAATGCAGAATCCAGGTAAGTCTTGCAGTGTTTGCTAGTTGAAAAAAATGTTTGGTTTTTAAGCTTACAAAGTATTTTACTGCAGTAGTTCTACAGCTTGCCAGTTGTTTCCCAAAGTCATAAAGAAAATAGTCCTAATATCAGAGGGATTATCTCTTTTGTAATGAATCTGTCTATACATTAAGATCTGAAGGAGAGGCCTTGTTAAAGGTGTGCTCTCTTTCAAAAGCTGTTTGTTGTTTCCTAATTGGGGTGAATTCCTCTAGAAGTTGTAGTTAATCTTCATCTTTCTTTAGTTAAGAAATTAAGTCATATGTTTGGCCTTCTGAATTCTCTTTATTATAATTTTAAATGTGAATTTTAATATTTTAATTTAATTTTTATTAGCTATCTTAAGTGTTCTTGTTAGATAGAACGGCAGGATCTAAATCTAAAAAGTATTTTTTTAAAAATTCAGCTTATGACAGTGCTGCATTATAGCTGCTGTATTAGCCTTTAAAAATTGCCAAATATGCTGAAACTTATGCTGATTTGGGGTATGAATTCCTCTTAAATTATACATGAATTGTAAATCTGCAATAGATGATGTACTCCATAGAGTTGCTGCTAGCATGAATAAAACGTTTCTCTAAAGCATTCTGCTCATGGATTGGTAGCTGGAACCATTGAGGTTTGTTTTTTTCTTGTGAGGTGAGAAGTTCTATAGCAATCATTTTACTTCAGCCTTAGGAAAAATGGAATTACCACCTGAGTGAAGATGATCACTTTTAATAGAAGGCCCAGTAGTCAGGTATCCCTCAAGCATAAACTTTTTATATGGACATGAAGTTACAGATTATTATTATGCTGTAAGGTTTGCTATGGAGTTGAATTCTTCCATTACTTCTCTTGTGCTAAGATTGATGCACAATGGAAAAAATTAACTGGTTACCATTCATAAACTGGGTGAATAGGTAGGCTGGATATTAGAGAGCTGAATTCCAACACATCGGGAAAGAATCAGGTTGGGAATAGCTGTATTAAATTACAGGTTTAGTTAAAGATTAATTGGTCTAACCCAATTTTAGTATTTTGAAATCAGCATTCAGTTGAACTTCTATTGCTCAGGCAGAGATGCCCAAATCCAGAGTAATCTAACTGAATTTAAGATGCATTTGAATAACAGGTCAGTTGCAACTATGTTTCTTTCATTTCAGTGCAATTTGAATGTGAATTATTTTAGTGGTTTTAGGGAAGATTTTTTGAAACTCTTCTCTTACTGAAATTACTAAATTTAAACCCAATTTAATCAGTTATGTAATTTGTTCCATTCAGCTTTCCACTTACATTTTGAGAGCATCAATAGTCAGGATCTTTGGTGTTGTCCCCTGCAGCACTGAATGAAGTGCAAAGTTTCAAATGATCATCAATTGTCAGGTGCTAAGCAGTGTGTTCTTACTTCCTTGTGCTTCCATCTTTTTCTGTCCTTGCCAGGGTTTGGCCCTTGTTGCTCTTTTGACTTGTTGGTTTCCTCTATTGTTCACCGCCTCTTGCATCTCTGGTTGCCATGGAGCAAGCACAAAATAACATCTTATGAAGTAGTAACTATGCAATTAGCTAGTGTCATGATTGTATATAATACTTAAAACACAAAGCTGTAGCTGCACGGGGGAGGTGGGGATAGCTATCACATTCAATTTCAGTTATTTTTTTAAAAAGCAAATAGCACATATTTGGATTTGGCACAGCATGAGCTCAGCCTCAGCTGCTGAGCCTCAGCTGCCAGAGAACAAACTGCACTGACTTTCCAAAGGTGTTTGGGCTATTGTTGTCAACCTTCCAAAAACTTTGTGCTGGAATGATGACTGCACATTTGGGAAGCCGTGCTCAGTGACATTAAGTATATCACCTTAAGTTAGTCCAGTGTGCTAGGTAGCCACATTAATATCCCTGCTGTATTTGAATCCCCAAATATATTTTTCCAATCTTGCAGAATTTGGATGTCTAATGGATATAAGAATTCATATTATGTTGATGAAACCTTTGTTTCATTTTTTTATGTTCTGAGATCATCTGTGTTTCTTTATTGTCTTGCAATAAAATAGAAATTATTGTTTTAGAAGGCATCTGCTTGTTCACATTTATTCACCTGGGTTTTTTTTACATATTTTCTGTAGGTTGGAAAAAGACACATAATCAACAAACTGTTCTTTGATGTTGCCCTAGAGGAGCAGTCAGCACTGGATTCAGAAAGGCTACAGGTAGGAAAATTGGGCTTGTCTTGCAAAAGTCTGTACCCATTACAGGTAGTCCTCTTTAGCAACCACAATTGGGACCAGCAACTTGGTCACTAAGTGAAACCACAACTGTGCTTGTGATCTTACTTCACCTTTCCTTTGCTTTACAGACCTGCAAAGGTTGTAAATGCCACCCAGAGTCCCCCATCAGGGGGAGATGGGCAGAGATAAATTTAATAAATACAATAAAAATAAATAAATAAATTTGAGGATTGGTGGCAGTTACTTTTGCAGCACCATTGCAACTGTAAACAGTCTCTGTATGAGGCAGTTACTAAACAAGGACTACCTGTACCTGGAATAAGAATACTGTCCCCAGTAAATACTTGATGCCATTAGCTCTTACAGAATTAAGCTCTTTTGTTTGCTTGTTTGGATCCACCTCTGTCTGGTGCAGCTACTTGGAATCTTCAGTTTAAAAAAAACGACTCTTTAAAGGCAGGTTGAAATTGGAGGAATTATTTCAATTTCCTCCTGGAGGAAGGTGTTTCAAACTTCATGCAGGCAGCAAGGCCTTTTCCTTTTTATCTTGACCTTGCTTTGTGATTCTACTGTTAACTCTTTAAACATTGTGTAGATAAGAATGACTTCAGGTTAGGTGAGCTCTGCTGGTGGAGTTTTTTATGATTGGGATGCATTGTTTACCCTGGGTGTCATGGGTCATTGCTTGTAGCTGTTTTAATCCTTGAATGCTGCCCAGAGTCACTGTTGTGAGAAGGGCAGCCATATAAATTATTTAAATAAATAAAGCCTGAAAAGAATCTTTGCCTCCGCTTCTCCTATTTAACATCTACATGAGAATGCTGGGCCAGATCATCCAATGGCATGGAGGCAGGTTTCATAAGGATGCTGATGATACACAGTTGTATATTTTTATCCCAGCTGACCAAGTGAAGCTGTGGAGGCGCTGTCACAGTACTTGGAGGCTTTTAAGATCTGGATGGGAAAGAACCGGTTCAATCCTAGCAAGACTGAGGGATTAGCCATGCTCAGGGATTTCTCATCTTTAATTCTTGATAGGGTTGCTTCTCCCCAGATGTACTAATGTTCAGTTTGAGGGTCCACTTGGACTCATGGCACTTGCTGGAAGAGTAAGCAGCAATTCTGTCTAGGAGAGTTTTCTGCATAGATCCATTTATGTTCACACTGCACCCTTTTCTGGACCAACAGACTGTTCTCAGTCATTCATGCTACAGTCACCTCCCATTTGAACTGTTGCAATGCACACTATATGGGGCCCAGAATATACCTCTCTATACCTCTACTTCACAAGCTGCACTGGAAACCAGTGGACTACTAGTTGTAATTCAAGGTATGGATTGTCATCTATATAACCCTTCATGGATCAGGGCCTAGATGTTTCTAATCATGCCTGCTTGTCCTATAAGATAAGGTATGTTCCAAGTCCTGTCTACGAAACAATGCAATTTGTGGGACTCCAGAGTTGTGCTTCTCTGTTGCTGCTCCTGACCTCTGGAATAGCATTTTCCTTGAGGTCCATTTGGCCCCAACTTTGCTGACCTTCAGGAAAACATTAGAAAGTGGCCTTTCCCTGGGTCAAGGCAATTCATGAACTGCTTGAATGGTTGCTATTTGACTTTCTGTGTATTTCCCAGTGTACTATTATTACTATATTTGGTCTTGTTTATTTGTTTAAAGATATTTTAAACCCATCGTTAGCTGCCTTGCATCATTTTGATTAAGGAAACTCTATACATTGAGTGAATGAATCAATAAATATTCAAGTTGCTGTAAACCTGAGAAAAGGAGGATAATTTGCAGTTTTTGATATAGTTATTGTAAAGCATCTTTGTATAAAGATGTGTCTGTTTTACAGACGCACTGATAGGTATAGTGTATGTGCTCACATCTACTCTGAAGCATCTTTTTGGCTTTGGATCTGAAGCATTGCACATCTCCACTGTTTATAATCTAATCAGATTGTTTGTTTTATATCTCACTTTTCCATGCAGTCAGGATAATCAAGGGGTCTAGTGTTAGGGAGGTAGTCTAGAATAAAATAAAACAAGTCAATATGGGTAAAATACATAAATATTTTTTAAAAAATACAAACTTTTCAGAACACCTGTTGGAGAAAGTGAGCTTTACCTAGTTTACCAGTTATAGAGAATGGGAACCAAGCATGCATAGCTTTGAAGTGAGTCAAGAGAAGTGTTCCTCTTATATGCCCCCAAACATTCAGAACAGATTGATGAAACAGGGTAGTCTGACATAAGAACAACCATTTTTCTCTTAGAACATTCCAGTTATATACTAGAATATGCCAATCCAAACATGCTGAGGCTTTGTCTGTGCAGGTTGTTTTAATAAATTGTCAGGGGCACAAAGTGGCCTGTAGCATTCCAAATATGTAGGAAACCAGCATAGAACTAGTAGGCTACTCTCTCCACACTTCCTGCCACATACATACATACTACATACATACATATGCAATTATACAATTATATTCTTGGCACGTTTTGTGTGAGCATAGCATTCCCTGCTCTTCATTAGAGCAGTCTGTATTTTTTCAGGCTTATAGGCAAGCATGAAAAAAAAGATGTTTTAAAGTTAATAGAAAGTAAAAATTTGGCTCTTTCAGCAGGTCCTGGGATAGGGTGAAATGATCCTCTCCCTGACAGTATATCTTGTTTTTATGATCATGATTGAGTTGGTTCCTTGTGTACTGTATGTATTATTGTTCCTTTAGTTTTTCTTTTTTTCCATTTTGCTGATTTGAAACCTAATATGTAAGCTACCTAGAGTTATTTCAAGGATTAAGGTGGCATACAAGTTGATAAATAAGTGGGCACATTTTTGTATAAAAATATATTACACATTTTTAACTTGTGTAAACTGTGTAATATATATATTATAGATGAGCATGTAGGAATTAATATCATTGTGGTTTTGAAAAATCATGAATAAAAATGATATGTATCATATTGTTCACTAAGGTAGTTTTTCATTTTACTTTATGCCGATTATTAAATTATGTTTTGGCTCTCTTTATTTTATTTATAAAGTTAGCATGCAATTATCATCAGAATTAGTCACAAGAGAGATTATAACCTTCCTATTATATGTGGAGAATAATCAAAGTAGCTATTCCATGTCAAAAATAGCTGGAAGCATGTATAGACTGTGTTTACCATTCTGTAAAGAATGGTTTAAGCAATTGGTTCCCATTCAATGCAGGAAAGCTTTTACAGATAAGGCTTGCGTCCTTCTTGTATTCTCAGGCTGAATGTCAAGGCAATGGACAAAATTAGTACTAAAGCATTTTTTTTTTTACAAAATGAGTAGTTTGTGCTAATAAACCTGTTAACTAACTTTGAACAGAGGGTTTGTGAGCTGTACTATCAGGCATTGCTTCAAATTTTGAAAAGTATTTTTCTAAATAAGACGGTAGCAGCAAATGTTATAAGCACTCCTTTTTTCTGTCATCTTCTTGCAATATGAAATACTGCAAATAGAATTTTTTAAAGTTAGCAGTTGGTACTAGCTATTCACATACAGTACTGTATTATGCTGTGGTAAATACAGGTTTGGATGCTTGAAAGAGAGAAACCCAATATCATGGGTTTTGTATCAAAGCAAGCGATTTTAAACAACTAGTGTATATAGAAATATCTCTTTCATTATCCAGTTTCCAAATATGAAAATATCCATAACTTTAATTAAAAGTAGGTGTGATTGATTATTGAACTGTGAGGTTTTATTCAGTACTACCCTGGAGAAAGGAAATTTCAAGAAGCTACCAGCCTTGCATCTTCTGGAATCTCTCACAATGCCCTAAAATAATTGACAGAAGATAAAGGAACCCTTTTAAATGTAGTAGGTGTGACCAGGGGAGAGGAGGGTGTTGAGAGGGAAGAGGGAAGAAGGTATCTCTGAAAATGGAAAAGAGACCTCTTCCACAACCTGGAAAGGTCTACCTTCCAGAATCTCTAGCCAGGTAGGGAAAGTGTAAGCTACACAATTGTATTTTCAGTCCTACTCCTTTTCTTGTAAGCTCATGATTTTTATTCCCTAGGAAATAATTTCTACTTGTGTCCTGCATTCTTTCATTTATACATTCATTTATTTAAAATATTTATATAGTGGTTTCGTCGTTTCTTTTACAAATGCTTAAAGAATAGTAAAACACAATCTCCCCTGAAAATATATTTTAAAAAAATTAACAATCACCAATAAAACAGTGCATAGGCAAAATTGTCATTTTTCATTTCTGCCAATGCTCTGTATATTTTTTGTCTATCTGCAGGATTTTTTATACCTTGATGTTTTCCAGGATTCAGGGAGTCCCTTGTAAGGATTTTTCCTGGCTTATAGACAATTTATTTCATTTTGTTTTGACATTTTTAAAAGGCAGAAAACATATGCTTGGCAAGATTATCAAGTACTGTAAAATTCCGATAGAAATGAATGCTATATATTTTCTCTTTTTTAATTAAAAATGCCAAGTGTTCCAAAGATACCCTCAGTATTCACTTAATACAATTTACTTCAAATTGGTGCCAGTTTAATGCTGTCTGTTTCATCCAGCTACTGATCTGTATCAGTAACATCCAAGCTCATTTGAATGAGAAATAAGCAAAGTTTTAATTTTACTTGGTATAAGTGTATCCATATGCCATTGCAAATTGTTTTTTGGACTTCATTAAACTAATAGTTTTCGAGATGCTGTTACACTTAAGTGTGTTATGCATTGGTTAGAAATATTAGTTAAAATATGTTGATATATTTTGCTGGGCAGGATATTTACCTTATTGCCTTGTTCAATTAAAATGTGGAAACTTTTCCTCTGAGTCTTCTGAAATTGTTTAACAATTGAAAAATAAAACTGAAAAATACATAATAAGCCAATATTTTTTCTCACATTAATTCTTCAAGGCCTGTTGGTTCTTTAGCATTCCTGTAGTTCTACAGCAATGATTCTCAAACTGTGATCCATGGAACACTGGGGGTCCATGGGGGTCCACTGTACTTTCCCTGCATTCACCATCAGTTAAATGGTTTGTGGTAATAAATTAGCTGCGTGAAAGCTGATTGACACATACAAATGATAAGACAAGTAACATGAACAATAAAATTCAGAAAATGAACAACAGTGAATAGATCTCACATGTTTTGCTCAGACAGAGCTTGGCTGGGCTTAGTATAAAGTTGCTGTACAATGCTATTTTTTAAAGTTGTGATAATGTCTTGGACTTTGTACTTTAATCTGATTTGTTTCTTTGTATGATGTATTTCAGAATGAACTAGATAGGGTGAAAGCTCAACTATTCATGAAAGGTAAGTTGAAAATTGAGAGGTCTGAGACAATAAAATACAAGTCAAGGACACAATTGTAGTCATGGCTTTGTCCTGTTCTCAACACATGTGTATAACATTTCTTCTGCCTCCAAATTGAGGAATAAAATGTCTTCTGCTTGCAAACGATTAAAAGGAAATGAAATGCTTTGAACCACTAGTTGATTATGGGCAAAATCCTGTTTGGCCATAGATTTTGCATGATAAAGTTGAGCTTGATGAACATCCAGAACACTCCAAGTTTTAATAGCTCTTTTGGGAAATATTTATCTGCCTAATGTCCAGGGTTGTGCAATGGAAACATTATAGACTTGCTTCATTGAACTGAGAAATAGGAAACTTGGGAAGGGAGGGGGATGTTCTATGAATCTAATTATTTATGCCCTTCCATTTTCCTCAATTTTAAGAATATGATCATTTTTAATTATTTTCTATAGACGGTTATGAGTCATATACAGTGAAGAAAATGTCATTTAATTTGAAAGGCAAAAGACCTAAAATACCAGAATACAGTAAAAGAGAAGGTTTTACAAGAGCAACCGGGAAGGGTCATTGTTTCCAAAGTGTTCGTTCTCACTGGATTATTTCCTTTCCCATATATGTATTGTGGTGGTAAAAGGTACATGTCCCCACCCCCACCCCTCATACACATGTGAGCTGATTCACTGTTTGATCCTGAGTGGCAACAGGGAGAAGAATCAGTCAGGAACCTGTGGCCCAGTAAACCAAATTATTTCTATTCACTGGCTGTATCTCAGAGATAGTTTGCCTGGCATGATGATCTAGTAGGAAGGGATAAATAATAATAAGGTCACCCAGGTGAGTTTATCAAAAACATTCCAACGTCATGCTATACAGTAATTTCCATTGTGTCTGCCTTTTTCTTTGTCTTGCCTTTGCAATGTAGTAGGCCAAGGGTATATAAGGTCTGGTTCTGCTTTTGATCAGGGCTGCTCAGCAAACTGCCAATGCTTTGCTGGGAGCCCAGTAAATACTGTTTTATTGTTTGCATGCTAATAAAATTATGTTGTAACTTCAAAGTGATTTGGTTGCTTTAGGTGAGCCAGATTTTGGCTGCAACCCTTTGGTGCTGTCATTCAAATTGGAAGGATGAGAGGGGAGGCAGTCAGTCACTTGCAGTCAATCACTCCTGCCACATTGCAGCTTGTGCTTTCTGCCACCTCCCTTTTCCTCTCCGATCCTGAACCCATCTGAAGATATACTTGGAGGAATTTTAATTTGGCCAGGGAAGTTTGTTACAAGGTGTGGGTTCCAGTGGAAAGCACCGTGAGAGGCTCGGCAAGTGCAAGCCCAGGGTGGATGCAGGATGGATCCAGGTATAAGGAAAACTCTGCATGGGCAAGTTTGAATTTTTGCTGGCTGACTCTGTGAGTGGCGCAAGTGACAGGAAGTTTGATGTATGTTTTGGGTTCTGCTGACGGATTCTGTGAGGGGCGTGAATATGAGCAGTATTCAACATGAGTACATGTTTTCTGTTTGTAAGCCTTTGTCTGTATAAATTTATGTATGTGTTTGTCAAGGGAAGTGGGTGATGTGCAGATTGCTTCACCTTACTCTCAGCTAAACTGGAATGCTCCAAATTCTTGGAATTCCACAGCTCTGGCCACACTGTGTGTCTTCCAAATTTTGGGGTATGCTCCCTTTTTGTTATATATTGCAGCTCTGATCATCCCATGTATCCAGCCATTTGTACTCTCTGTCTTTGTGTAAGTTTTGTGCATATTTTGTAAGCTGAGTGCATAACAGAAGAAAGTTAGGAGATTTCTGTTGTTTGCTGTCTGCCATTTACTCTTCATTGTTTGAAGTGCATGTGAGTGTTGTTTTCATGCCATACTGAGCATCTTCTCTGCCATCCTCAAAGGGAAAGGGGGAGGAATGTGGATTCCTTGCGTGAGTGTGAGAAGTTGTTTCTGTATGTTTGTGTATCTCCCCTGATTTGATTTTAGGATTTCACCCCAACTGAGCTGTGCTATTGTGTGTGTTTGTATAAGTTTATATATATATCTCCTTTGCTAATTAGTGAAAAGAGGAATGGAAGACTGTACGTGCTCCAGTGGGTTGTGCTTGATGGAACTATTTACAGATTATGATATAAATTATGTTGTATCTTCAAACTGATTTGGTTGCTTTAGGTGAGTGTGATGGAATGTATCTACGAAGGGGGAGGTGATGTGAAGGACTGCAATAGTGCAGTAGGTTCTCAGGAAGGAGGGAGCACATTCCAGGAAGAGGGGTGAGACAAGAGAGCACAGTCCAGAGCAGGAGCGTGGGAAAAGGAAGAGATTTAGGATAGCCACTCCCTAGAATCTCCCAGGGTATATCCACTAGGTTAGAGTAGTACGTGGGAAAAGGAAGAGATTTAGGATAGCCACTCCCTAGAATCTCCCAGGGTATATCCACTAGGTTAGAGTAGTACGTGGGAAAAGGAAGAGATTTAGGATAGCCACTCCCTAGAATCTCCCAGGGTATATCCACTAGGTTAGAGTAGTACAGATTTAGTCTGGCAAGATTCTGTCTATATGGTGTAAGCAATAAAAGAACTGAACGTGGCTGGACTGTTTGTTGTTCTTTGGCTGGGCCTGACAGTGAGCCAGGTTTTGGCTACAACAGTAAAAATTCAGGACTGAACAATGTTGTTTGACACAGTTTACCCTATTTTTATATTGAGACTCCAGCAACTAAAATAGTGTGTATGAGAATATTTTGTTGACTTGTAGTTTTCTAAATTTAGCTATACATTACATTAGAAGCATTTTTGGGTAATAATTTTTAGAATTAATGGTTGAGGCTCTCAGCAGGTGACTGTATCTAACCAAGCCAAGCATCCAAGCTAAGCAGAATACTTGGATGGGAGACCACTATGAATACCAGAGCTGGACAATAAACTGGGAAGTCAAGAAACATCCCAGTAGAAGACAAGGGCAAACCATTTCCATACTCCAAGAAAACTGCATGGTTGTGTCCATGTAGTCACCAGGAATCAAGCTCAACTGCAGACATTTCTACCTTTACTTGTGAGAGGGAGACAGTGTCATAGATCTTCCTTCAATGTAACATTTGTCTCTTATGAGATCTTGAAGGGTAATAATATTTACAGCTATACAAACTGGGGCAGGAGTTTTGTTTCCCTCACCCCAAAGGACAAGCTGTGGTGAAAGTGAATGACAAGACAGCAGTACAGTAGCGTAATTGTTCAGTATGTCAGCTGTGCCCTATTGTTCACTGTACTTTCTGTCAATCTTACCCAATATGTATCTATCAACAAGGATTCTCACTGAGAAAGCAAAATATAACATCTTCCACAATAGGACCTCAAAACTTCATCATTACCTCATTCTGTAAATTGCCATTATGCCTGAATACATTTTGATCTGCAAGAAAAGGGGTGGTAGTGTAAGTATTGCCTCTGCCTATTGAACAAGTTCTGAAGTGAGAGCGTGTCATTATTTTTGTACTAAGAAAGCTTTGAAATCTGGTAGAGTTTTTAACAAGGATTATTTGATGCACAAATACTGCTAGCACTTTGTATCTAGTGTTATTGATACAATAGTTTTGGCAAATTTCCAAACAATTTTTAGAATAGAATGGGGAATCTTTAATCTACGAGGAGAGTCCATCATGACTATAGAAGATTGCATCTGGCTCTAAATTAGACAGTGGATGATGTCAGAACTAAAATGAGATGAAGATTTCAGCTTGTATCACTACCCCAATATGTCAGCCCATCCTTTTTCGGCCCTCTTTCTTTAGCATGTGTCTCTCCTTGTGTATTTGCATATACACATGCACACACAAAGTAGAAAAGGAGGTGATTCCCAGAGGAGTGTTCCAAAAGAATAGACCCACAGCTTTTGGACACCCAGATGAAGACAATGACCGCATGAAATTCAGCGGTGTTGCATCTCTGGCCAAATTCCTTCCCCTGCTCACTCAGTTCTAGATCTCTACTATGTGCGTTAAGAATTATTTCTTTGCTAAGTATAGAAATTTATAAAACTCAGGTGGGCTCTTACTTCCATCATATTTTTTTTGCTTCAGAGAAGGAAAAACGAGATTGTCAATGTATTGTAAATTCATTGAGAGAGACATTGGATCTACGTAATGCCACTATAGAATCACTCCAGAAAACTGTTTCTGAGATGGAGATGCTGTGTTCTACACTCAAGGTATGTTGAATATTACCTGGGTTTATACTATGATTGCCATTTCTAAATCTGAAAGATAAGGTACAGTTTGTTCATTGTTTATCTTGAGCTAACCTTGCAGTGCCAATTTTAATATAGCCTTCTTGGCTAAAAAGGACTGGCTATTAAGATAAAAGAAGACTTCCTTTATCTTAAGTGAATGGGAGGAAGGTGTCTGCTTCAACAGTGTTCCACAGCATACTAAAGTAGCTCAAATGTGCAAGGGTAGAGAGCAGTTGGACCAACATATATAGTTGGATTTCAGTGCCAGTCAGACCCACAGAGCGTTAGCTAATAATCAGAGAGGAAGGATTATACTCCAATAACATCTATATGGCCACAAGGTTCCCATGTCTACTGTAACTCAATCCTGTACTGACAATGTATCATTAAGGTTTCGTTTTGGGAGTTTTTGTTTGTTTGTTTTTTTGAGATAATGTCTTCTCTCATTGCTTAGAAATATATTTCCTAAACCTAATGTCTTCCATTAAATGTTTGTTTAGACTACGAAGGATTGGCTTTTTGTTCCTTTGAACGAATGATGATTATGGCTTCCAGTCCATCATAAAAGAAAAACCAAAAATGCTTAAACAAACTGCATTTAAACAAATTAAATTCCTGATAATGAAGTTGAACGCAATCATGACCTTCAACAAGTGAAAAGTCCTTATATCCTCACAAGGGACATCAGTGCAGGCTTCCCACTGGACGGTTAAGGAGAAGTGCTTGTTTTTTCTTCCTTTTATGCCCAGTGAGAAGTACTGTGCAGTCTTTCAGAATATTGTGGGAAATGAAGAACAATAGGAAAAGAAGAAATTGCCTTTTTCATCCTTCCAGCAGAGCATTCTGTGAATGGATTTCCACTGATAGGAAGCCAAATTGATAGTGAGATAGGCAATATACCCCTAGATCCAACATCACGATTTTTAAAAAAGGAGTCTTAACTCAAAATATAATTTGATTGTTCAACGGTTGGAGACATTTAAGTGAGGGATTTTTATTTCACAATTGTTTTCTGGAATTGATGTAGATTAGTTGTAAGTTCTTGTTCCTGCCATTAGATCTTTGTGTGAATGCTCTTTAACAAGTTGGGTGGTGTTTAACTGATTGCTGTTTAAAGTTATATTTTGAACATACATGTTTAAAAGAAAGATGGAATATGCATAACAAGTATGTTGTCTTTTGCCTTTTTTTTCAACATTGTAACTTCTCCTGAATAGTGGATATTGCAGTGAAGAGTTTCTCCCTTTAATTAGGCATACATTTCCAACACTGAGACTAAGCCTGTTATTTAATTTGAATTATTCCCACAACATACCCAAGCTGTTTAGCTTAAAATGGCTTTTCAGGTTTTCTGTGCATCTTTTCATTCAACTTTTAATCCCATAATTGAAATGTAGAACTATAAATGAAGCTGGTTAGAACCTTTTTTCAGTCTGGTACATATAACTAACTAATTACTCTAATATTTCTGAAATTTGAGGATTTTTTCTCTGAAGTCAAATCAAATAGTTGACTCTTGCTATTTGGTTTCAAAGAGCCTTTGAAGTTTGTCTTAAACTGGCCAATCCAAAATATATATATATATAGAAATAACAAGTACATTGAACTATTCTTTTTCTTTTAAGACTGCAGTACAAACTCTCTAAATGCACACTGCACTGAGCCTGTGTAGCTTATTTCCTGTTCAAGGAAACTGCATTTTAATGCAAGCTTTCAGTAATGGTCAATTTATGTGAAAAATAAACAGAAAAATAATATTTGTATAGTATCATGGTTTCTCTTTGATGAGGCAAAGGTATGTGCTTTCCTACCACTTTGTTACATAATTAAATCCTTGCAATAGAATGTATCAACAGTAATCACTTAAATTTTTAAAACAAAATATTTTGTTTCATTAGAAACACTGTGATAAAGATATTATGGCACATTGATATCTGATTATGTGCCATCAAGTTGATGTCAGTTTTTAGCAACCACGCACCAGCAGTCCTCAGTTAACGACCACTCGTTCAGCAACTGTTCGAAGTTACGACAGCACTGAATGAGTGGTGGTTACAAGTCCCAGCCATCCCATCAACCCTGTGGTCACGTGATCACAATCTGAGCAATTGACAACCAGGTCGCATTTACAACAGTTGCAGCATCCCACGGTCACATCGCGATTTGCAACCTTCCCTGCTGGCTTCCCACAAGCAAAGTCAATGGGGAAGTCAGCAGAGAAAGTTGCAAGTTGCTCCATTAAGTCTCCCCCACCCCCGCACCCTCTCCTAGCCCCTCTGTGCTTGTGCCTCACTAGCCACCTGCACATTTTCCCCAAGCCTCACTGCGCTCATGCAGTGCCTCCCCAGCCACCCAACCTGACTTTGGTTGTTGGAAGCCGGCAGGAAGTTGCGAGAAGGTGCTCACTTAACAACAACAACAGGGACTGCAGGGATTGCCACCACTAAGCAATGCAGTCATGTGACGCCACACTTTACAACTGCATCACTTAGCAATGGAAATTCTGGTCCCAATTGCCGTCGTAACTCAAGGACTACCTGTAGATGGATTTTCTCCCTGACTAACTGTCCCTAACCTGCCCTTCAGGTGTTCCAACAGTGCACTCATTTCCATTGTAACTGACCCCACTCACTTTGCTGCTGGTCTTCCTCTTCTGCTCTTTCCTGCTACCTTTCCCAGAATCAGAGCCTTCTCCAGAGAGCTAGGTCTTCACATAATGTGTCCAAAGTAGGATAATTTGAGCTTGGTAATTGTGCCTAGAGTGAGAAATTTGGGTTGATTTGTTTGATGAGCCATTGGTTTGTTTTCTTGGTTCATGGTATTCTCAGGAGTTTTCTCCAACACAAAGTTCAAAAGCGTCAATGTTCTTTCTATAAGTCTTCTTCAAAGTCCAATTTTCACTCATAAAATGTCACAAGGAATACCATTGCCTGCACAATTCTGATCTTTGAAGGTATAGACACATTGTAGCACGTGATATCTCTTCCAAGTCTTTCATTGCTACTAAGTGCTAATCTGCAACATATGTCTTGACTGCTTGCTCCTTCAATGTTGATAGTTGACCCTAAGAGGCAGAAGCTATCTGCCACTTCTGTATCTTTACTGTTAATTCTAAGTCTGCTGTCTTTACATTAATGGTGTTTCTTTTTTCAGAAACAAATGAGATATATGGAACAGGAGCAAGAAGAAACAAAGAATGCAAAAGAAGAAACTCAAAAATTGCAAAGGAAACTGAAATCTATGGGGAGGTTAGAGAAGAAGCTTTATCTACCTTATAGACAATCTATATTGTCTATATCTTCTAGAAAATATGTGGTTCCAGTTTCATGCACACTTATTTGGGAATCATCTCTTTTGAATACTGAATTATATCTAAGTAAACATGATAAAAATAATACTTGAATTTTCTGTATCCAGAAAATTTTAGTGTTCTTAATTAAAGGATGTATTTTTAACTAAGTTTTGATTGCTTTCCTAAGAACAAGCAAAACATTTCAATATGTGTGAGTCTGTGTATGTGTATTATAACAATACAATAGGATATTTACCTTTGCTAATGCCACCGCTGCCATTCTGAATAATTCCTGGATTTGCTGGACAAGTTGTCCTATTTTAGTCTAGCAAGAAAATGTAATTCTAAATTATACTTTTCTTTTCCTGGATCATGTATGTATTCCCAGTCACTCATCCTATTTCTATTCATGGATAAGATTGAAAATGGTCCAGATGAATAGAATGGACAGAACTCTAGTATCCCAAGGTTCTGATGGCTCCTCATTTTTCAAGATATATATTATGAGAAATGGCATGTGAATGGCACATATGGTTCATATTTCTCAGTCCAATAGGCTGATTCTAAGCAAAGAACACAAATGGGTAATTGTTCCTAAACTCCTTAGAAATGACCTGAGCTCATTATTAGTTGTTCAGTGTTTGTACCTTCTAATCTAGCAGCAGCGCAAATTTCATAAGGCTGAAACACACTAGTAGATGGCTGAGGAAAGCTTTGGGGCAGGGTGGTTGGAATTTTTACCATTCTGAAACACAGAATGAGCTATTCTCATTTTTATTTTGTTTGACTATGGCTAGCTGAGGCAGAAAACTCCTAACCTACCTATCTCCTTTCCAGAATTGAGACACTGCTGCAGGGTCAGCGTCCCGAAGTGGAAGAGATGATCCGTGAAATGGGAGCAGGGCAAGCAGCAGTGGAACAGCTTGCAGTCTATTGCATCTCACTAAAAAAGTAAGTTAGAAAGTGTACTGGCTTAGGCATTTTGCATGGTACCCTCTAAAGAAACAGTGAGTGAGAAATAAGAATGGTGCTGATACTCCGGGACAACTCTAGCTGCAATACCGAGATTTGAAGGACATTTTTTATTTGTTTAGCAAATTATATGCTATCCACTCCGTTAAGGGCTCCAGGAGGCTTACAAAAATGCTATAAAATCTATAATAATTAGAAAAATATCAAGAAGCAAATCATTTTAAAAACTTTAAACATTAAAACTTTAGGATATTAAAATATCTGGGCGAAGAAACAAATGTTGCTCCCTTTTCTTGCTGGCAGTTTGTTCTATAACATGAGCCTGCTGCTATCAAGGTGGCATAAATGGAAGATTTTCAACTCAGCAAGCGTACTATTGTTGTATTAGTGACACATCATTGCTATGGAAACAGCTTTCAGAGGTTTGCCAGGGTGTTTAGGAGGTGATTGTTTGATGGGAACTGAGGAGATGGAGGATTGTCATGATTTTGAGTAAGGCAGCATGGCCTCTGAATATCTCCCCTGTGCAGAGCAGAGCACTTTACACAGCTGTGGCACAATAAGTATGGTGTACTTGCTGGTCCCTACAGAGTGTGTGAGAGGTCTTTCTATTTATACCATGTTTAATTTACAGCTTGTGCAGGCAACATTAGACAGCAAATGGATAATCACAACTTTTAATAATGAGCTACAGCATGAAGTATCTGCATTGTAACCAATAGCTTCAGCACTGTTTTATAATACTATTAAAATGATTTCACAACCTAAACTTTTTTAAAAACAGAAAAGTGTTACATATCATTTCAGTGAGGTGTAAATTCAGTAAAATGTAAAACATTGCACGTAGGTAAAAATTGTTTGCTTTGGGTTTTGATATATACTTTTCTGCCATTTTAATGCCTATTCCGAACCTAACAGTACTGCCTTGTGAAAGCATGTTTTCTCACCTGCTCAGTGGTGTCAGTGTGTTAACACTGTGCAAATCAATGTTGGCTTGTTCAAGACTGAAACTGCTTGTGTATATGTAACAGGAACTTTTGCAGCCACTTAAACAATGAATTGCAAATTTGTCTATTGGCTCTACTCTATCAAAGAGGTACTTGCTTGGAAAGCAAGCTCCATTGGTTGACTGACTAATTTTGGCCCTTCCAGAGAATATGAAAATCTGAAGGAGTCCCAGAAAGCATCAAATGATACAGTGGAGAAATTGAGAAAGGAGTTGTTTTCTGCTAATCATAAGGTAAAGGTTGCATTGATATTCCTACAGATACATGCAGAGGCATCTATTTAAAATTCATTCTCTGTACTGTCCCCTAAATACACTTTTTTGGCCAATTACATAGCCAATTTGGTAACTATCTATTAACTGGAAAGTTAAGTTCAGCTCAACCTTCCTAATTCAAAATGTCACTGTTTCATCCATCAGTTTGTCCATATAATCATGCAACACACCCAGTACTGACAAATTGTTCATCAACTTCTGCACAAAAAAAAAGAAGAGAAAAGCCTAATGAAGTGTGGTTCATACCATTCAGCTCTTGCTAATTAAAATCTGTGTCACCAGGGAGCACACCAATTTCCGAGGTCAACCGGAGGTGGTTGGTAACTGTTTGTTGGTAGTGATTCCAAGTTACCATATACCTGCTCCTTTCCTATACTCTTCAGTTAAGCACTGCCTGCCCTGAACCATCCATGGTCAATAACACTGCTTTCTCAGTGGGATAAACAGAAGCATATGTCCTAATCAGGATGTGCCATACTGTCCTGTTCTGAGGTGGCTGTGTGCTCAGGATTAATACAAGAGAATGTGTGCGCAAAAGATTAACTCAGAAGGACAGACTGAACAGAATTATTTAATGTTGCTGAGCAATAGTGATCCATTCATGCCCACCCTCCACATCTTGTTCCATGGTGTTTGGGTGAAGGTAACTGGTAATTGGAGGCTGGGTCACCAGACTGTATCTGCCCTTGTAACATTACACTGTAGAGACATTGATATCTGAGCTTACTTCAGTTTCTTGGTAATTATTCTGTGAAAAGCTACAGGGAAAAATCACACTTAAAATCCTGTTTTTCCTTCCTATTTGTTCCTATTCAGGAATAGTTAGAGTAACAGCATCTATTAAGTAATATGCCCCAACGGCAGGTATAGGAAGTGTTAATGGCTGGTCAAGCTCCCCACCATTGAGATAAAAATTGATTAGATGATGTTGGAAGCCAGGGAATATTGTTGGAGAAAAAAGTGAAGCCTGAGAAGCAAAGCGCTTGTCAGGAAACTTCTCTGTTTGCTGACAGATCTTCAGCATCTTGTTATTTCCTCAGACATCTAGACCAGTGTTTGATGCTGGCTGGGGAATTCTGAGAGTTGAACTCCACATATCTTAAAGTTGCCAAGGCTGAGAAACACTGGTCTAGACTGCATTTTTGAGATCCCTCCTTTCCAGACCCTGATCAGTTCCAGTTCTTCTTTGCTTGCTCTAAGTTCTTCAGGATTGACTTTCTCTGGCAACCCTCTGACTTCAGGCCTTCCGGGTCGGTTCATAAGAGCCCCATCTACTGTCTGGCAGCACTGTTTTGCCAAAACAGGAACTGTTCATGCTATCCCATTTTATGATTGTTGCCATGTTCCTCACATTACCTTTCTTCCCTTCCTCACACAGCAAGGTTTTCCTCAGTGCAGGCAGTTGAGAAAAAGAACAAACAATAGCTCTACCCTCCCAGTAAGTGTAATCATTTTTACAGAACCTGAATACAGTTCATAATATCAGGAAGGGAAAAAGATTCTGTCTTTAGATTCCTGAGGTTGCTCCTATTGCTCCAAAGCAGCATACTGTAAAATCATTTCAATATTAAATCGAACTAAAAATCCATTCTTCCACTCTGTATCATTATCTGTGGATTCCTTTCTGGCAGTGACTCTTTCTAGATCCTTAACTACCAGGGAGAGCAGAGAACATACCTTTTTTTCTATCGGTCACTGAAATATGTAGAAACAATGCCAAATATTCCATTTCAACATTGATGGGTCCTAACACGGGCACATCTCAACAGTATATATACAATTGCATGAGCACATCTCATTAATGGTTAAAGTGTTGGACTGGAACTGGAGAGGTCCAGGCTCACATTTATGCACAGAAATGAAAGTTCACTGGATAAATCATAATGAATCAATCATTCTCTTTTTGCCCACCTTACCAAATAAGGTATCTAGAGGGCACTAGGGCAGGATACGGGAAAGAAGGCTGATAAAGAATTTCTTTTTTGAGCATATACTGGGAATGGCAAAAATTCGTTATATATTTACAATGTTCTCTTTACAAATAATAAAGTAGGGCTGCACCTTAATAACTTTTCATTGACATTTAAAAACATGAGCCGCCCTGAAGCTCCCTCTGCAGGTGGTTTGATAGAACAAGAAATTATTCTTTCATAGGTAAGCTGTTCGCATTCAAGATGGCTCCTTTAGATTTCTGTTATAATATGATAAATTATAATACTGAATCTGGGAGTGTACTTTTATTAAGCACAACTGCTGTAATTCTTTGGAAACATACAACTTTGTATAATTTTATTTCTTATTGGATTCTGTTTTTCTGAGACATAGTTTTTCATCTATAGCTCCAGAAAACTGTTCTAGAGTTTGAGAAAACAATTGAAGAATTGAAAAATACACAGACAGATCTGAGAAATGCAGATAAGGAGATCATGGTAAGGCTTTCCTTTTAACCTGTATTCAATGCATTATTTGTGTCCCTGTTCATAACTTATACTCAAAATTCTTTTCAAATATTTTTCCCATTGAAGTGAAAGCATGCAGATTTCCTGAATATCAACACAAAATCAGTATAAAACAGAAAACATAAATCTTGACTTTAATAGGTTTTTTTGGTTTTTTTTTAATTTCTACTCTTTTTTTCCAGAGTTTGAAAAAAAAGATAGGAGTCCTGCAAGATACCATAAAAGTGCCATCATTAACCAGTGAAGCCCTCAGCCGGCTTGTCTCGGAAAGGTTAGCAAAGGAAGAACATTAAAATTTGAAACAATGGAGATATTATGTTTTAAACTGTGTACAATATATGCAGACACTTGTAGAATGTTGAACCAAGTTCTTCAAAGCTACAAAGATTCTTCTTACACCATATTAGTTAACTTGCTCATTTATCCCAGTAATGTCTCTTCTGAGTGGCAGTGGTATTCCAGTGTTTGGGGAACAGAGTTTTCCAATCACTTTGGCCCTTTTAATAACTTCAGGATTTTGCCATTTACCGTAGCAGTATCTATATAATCCTAACACAACTGCAGGGCAAGCTTGTTTCTTCTACTTTCATTATTTTTGTGTAAGAATAATTTTTCTATGGAAATGCAGAACCTCTTATAGTAAGATGTGTTTGGTCATCATCAAGTTGGTATCAGCTCTTAGCAGCCACATAGATAGAACTTCTCCAGGATCATCTGTCCCCAGCCTGGTCCTTCAAATCTTCTAGCAGTGCACCCATTGCTACTGTAATTGAGTCCTTGCTACTGGCCCTCTTCTTCTCTTTCCTTCCACCTTTCTCAGTATTATATACTTCTCAAGAAACCTGGGTCTTTGCACAATGTGTCTAAAATATGGTAATATGAACCTGGTCATTTGTGTCTCAAGTGAATTGTTAGTTATGTTTTCTATTGTAAGAAGTGTATTTGTCTAGATGTATGGGATCGTCTTTTTTTATTGCTTTTTCTTTTTAGTGTAAATTACCCAGGGTCATTTTATATTTGGGCAGCCTCTAAATCTTGTTAAATAAATAAACAAAATATAGAAAGTGGGCACAAATGGAAACTAAGTGGCTGACAAATCAGGGAACAGAATTGATAGCTTTTCTGGAAGCAAGAGATAAAATAGGTAAACCCAACATGTATCAATAGGTTTCTTGACTGTTTTTTCTGTTCTGTTTCTTGACTGTTCTCAAATCCTGACTCTGAAGATTTGGAAGTACCATGGGCAAAAATGAGTTCCATCTCCCTCCCCATTAACACCAGTTACGGATTATGGCTCTTTCCCAAATAATTTAGCAGGGCTATCTAGTAAAGTGTGGAGATAGCAAAATCTTTTTTTTTTTAGTTTAAGAGATTATTTTATAACTAATCAAGTAATACCAGAAGAGATTTTAAAGCAGAAATTGATACATATGGATCTTAATTGTCTACACATCAATGAATCTTTTTGCTAAAAATATAAATCATAAGAAAACAGCATTGTAACCTTTGAAAATCTTGTGTTAGTCCTCTAAAGCTCTAACATCCAAAATATACACTATCCTGTTAGAAGTTGTTGGAGTGGGATCCACATCTCACAAAGAAGCGTGGGAATCAGACTTGAGATATAATATCTCTGAAACACAATGGGCTCACACACAACTCCACATTATGATCAATATCAGCAAAAATCAGGGGAAATTGCTTAAAAATAATTCATAGAGGGTATTACACCCCTGTACAAGTACCTAAAATTACTGGGAAAGGCCCATATATGTGTTGAAAATGTGGCGAAGCAAATGGCACCTATATGCATGTAAGTGGTCTCCTAAGGTTATACCAAGATTCTGGACGATAGTATTTAGAGAGTTTAATTGTATGGATATAGGAAAATGTTTAATTTCCCATGTTCATCGATGTTATTGAGTGAGGCAACTTAGAGTAAAAATAATGTAACTGTTCAATTCTTCAATTTCTTCTGACCTTTTCCAATCTATTGGGCTACTGTGTCATTCTCCAGATTTATTGCATAGTTTGGTTAGAACCTTTATTGATTCTTCTTCATTTGCTTGCCATATTTCTATAGTTATTCCATCGATACATGCAGCTTTCCAACTTGTAATAACCAGGGTGCTGATATGATTTCATCTTCTAGAACCAGAGTTTCTTAAAATGGGAATATCTTCTAAGGTATCTGGATGTTGGCATCTGTACCACACAGAATTTCAAAATACTCCTTCCATCTTTGTTTGAACTTTATGAATTAGTTAATATCTGTCTATTGATGTCTTTTAGCATACCAAGTCAAGGTTGGAATTTTCTTCAGAATTCAGAAATCTTTTAGAAGACTTTCCTTGTTTTTCTGTGTCTGCTTTTATCTTCTGTTTCTTTACTAGTGTAATATTGCTTCTTGTCTCTAACAGCTCTTTGTTAAGTTCCTTCCAGAGATTTTTGTCTTTCATAGCTTTGGCCTCTCTTCTCTTCTTGGCAATTTCCATGGTTTGTTCTGACATCCAGTTTGCTTTCTTTTGTTTCTTCAACTTTGGCAGTCTTTTTTCACATTCATCTTTAACAACTTATTTTATTTCCTTCCACTCAGTTCCCCTGGTTCCCTAACGATGAAGTTCAGAACTTCAAAGTGATCCCTGATGTTCTCCATGGAAACAGGTGGCTTTGTTCTTCCATTTTAACTTGACTTGGAACTCGCACATGAGCAGTTTATGATCTATGCACAATCAGCCCGCTGGCCATATCTTTGATGTTATAACGGACCTCTTCCAGCTCCTTGTACCAATACTGTAATACATTTGATTTGATTTCTGTATATTCTATTTGGTGATTTCCATGTATATTGGCATTGTTTCGGTTGTTTGAAAACTATGTTAGCAATAAAGAAATCACTGTACTGGCAGAAACTGATACATTATTTTCCTGCTTCATTTCTGTTTCCTAGATCTTAAAGTCCAAGTATATTTTCTTCCTTACTGTTTCCACCTTTATTATTCCAATCACCAACCACAACCAGCCCATCATACTTACACATTCTGTCAGTTTCAAACTGAATTTGACCAGAAGACTCATCAACCTCTCCTTCTGCATCTGTGGTTGGAACATAAACTTGGATAATTAAAGGGTGGTCTACTAAGTCTAATTGAAATCATTCTTTCATTGACTGCATTGTACCCAAGTAATGTCTTTTCTATATCCTTCCTGGCTATGAAAGCAATATCTTTCCTTCTTTGTTTTTCATGTCTTGAGTAGAAACAGTATGGTCTTCTGACTGAAAATGTCCAATTCCAATCTAACTCAATCTGCTGATGCCTAAAATGTCATAATTGACATTAGTTGAATCGTTTCATCTTCCCCTGTTGAGCTTTCTGTTCTCATACTTCATGTTCCCACTGTAATTCCATCTTTGGAGCTTCAGATTTTCTTTTTCTGCATGACAACATCAGCAAGTAGATATCCAGAAGGCTTTAATCTAGCAGTGTCATAAACACCATTAGTACTCCAAAAGATCCTCAGCTTTTTCTGCATACCTTGTTGAGTGTCATGTGATCTCAGGGGCCCATCATCCAGCATTATATCCTCAGTCACTTTGTCTGCTCTATCCATTTGGTTTTCTTAGTAAAATACAGGAGTAGTTTACCACTGCCTTTGCCATTCTCTCTAAAATGATTATCTGCCTCCAGCATCTTCCTATATTGCTGCTGCCCAATATAAATGCCTGCTTGCTTTAGCTGAGGAGCTGAGATGATCTTCACACCTTTGAGGTGAACCTGTTGGGAGTATATACTCTTGGTGAACACTCCCACTATTTTTTCCTCATCCCTCCCAGGAACGTTGCCCCACCATAATGAGGCAGGGTAGCAATACCTGAAGGGGAAGATGTTTTCCAGAGTGCTAAGATGGGATATGAAGATACATGTAGCCAGGGTCCAAAGTATGAACACGTAATACTTGATCATGGGTTTATTTTTTAAATGGAATTTCACTGTATCTTTTTATGTGGCCTTCTCCTTCTGATATCAGTACTACATTTTAGGCTGGTAGCATGTGGAATAAGCTAGAAGCAGAGAGGGATGCACATGTGTAGTTATCCAATTGATCATGTTATGCCTTGTTCTCATACTTGCATAATTGGTCTTTACAGCCCTGCTCCTGCAGAATTTATGAATCCAAAGCTTCATCAACCTGTTCACAATGATGAGATTGACCTTAATGCTACCTTTGATGTAGTGACTCCAAAGTCTCACAAGACAGCTGTTGCTCCTGCCAAAAAAATCAAGCTAGATAAAAAGCCGTAAGTACTGTTTAATTTTATTAGCCCTGTATTTGCTCAAACTGCCTCATATTCCATTTATGCATATAAAATGTGACTTTTGATCCCTACAGAAACATACTTCAAATATAACCGCATTTACAAATACTATTGCCCTTATTTTTCTGATTTCTCAGAATGTCTAATAAAAGCCATCTTAATGTATTAATTGTTTCACAACAAAGAATTCTAAAAGGACAACTTATAACTTGCAAGTCCACTATCTAAAGGTGATTGAAGCCCAGTAGGCACAAGAAGGGGTTGTACATGGAAGAAGGATACAAATATATGTTGTTTAAATTTCATACTAAACCATCTATGACTTGTAAATTTGCTATGCTAAACTAGCATACTAAAATATATACATATTACTAACCAAAATTTTATCTATACAGTGTTTCAGCTGAACACTAAAGGCAACAAAGGAGGGCTTTTTCTCCTCCATATTAAGAATTAGGTTATGACTTCAGCCAAAGAATGAAGAGTAGCTGTAATGCAGAAGAAATAGATATTCTGAATCCTTTGCTTGTTGTTCAGATTGTAGGCTGTTCTATGAAAACCTGAGAAGAAAAAGCTTATTATAGTAACCTCTATTTTTTACTGGAGCCCTACATACCCCTACTTTTTATGATTCTTCCTCAACCATTTTTTACAGTAACGTTACTATTATATTATACAGATAAAACTAATATAATCTACATAGTATAAAATACAGTATATGAAAAAAGGAAAAAAATTAAAAAGTGCAGGAAAAAAGGAAAGACCTCCTCCTTCATCACCAGCAAGTATAATCAATATTAATGACTTATCACTATCTCCTAAAGTAAAACCAAACATCTCTTCATCCCATACCTCACCCCATTCTCTATAAACCAATCTCTAAAACCTCACCTCTCATATATTAATCAGCAAAAGTCCATTAAGGATTATCAGAAATAACAGCATAACTATTACAGACTATATCTACTAAACCCAACTTGAATCCTTCTTTTTATATTTATATCTCCCTTTCTATTTAAACAAATCCCCTATTTCCTCTCTTCAAATAAAATCTTTAAACCATCATCCAGTCCCAATCAATAAACCATTAAACATTGACAGAAATAGCAACCCATTCATTTTAACCTTGATCAAATAAACTGATTTTATATTCTTCTTTCTCCCAACAATCTTTAGATCCCTCAAACAAAGTTCTAACATCTGCTTTCTCATACTCTGTCTCTTCTCTCAGAATCCTTGTCATCTTTATCAAGCCTCCCTTGTAATTCAAGTAGAAAAACTTTATCCATGTCACTGTTCACATTCTCACTATCTCTTCTCAGAAAATCTTTGACAGCTTCAGCAATGTAAATCCAATGTAGAGAAATTATCCACGTCACTCTTCTGGTTTAATACTTATATGTCTTTTTAAATTATTAAATCATTATCCAGTTTCATTTGTAAATCCATTATTTCCATCTCTTTCTTATAGGCTATCATTTTGAGTCCACATTCAAATCAATTTCAGTTTTATTCAATGGGGCTTGTTGCTTTTCAGTAACACCTTCTAATTTTTCTCTAATAGGAAATAACGTCATAACTTCCTGAGCCCATTCATTATAGATCTCTCTTAAGGTAGTCATTGATGCATTTATTTCCTTCTAGTGCCCCTTAGTATCCAACCTTCAAAGTCATCTTATCAGTTGTTTCCAAATATAAACATAGATATTTTCCCACAGGAAGGATTCTTTCAAGTCCATCTAAGCCCTTAATTCGTTTAAAACTTTCTAAAGCCAACACTAATCATCCTTTTGCTGTATATTCCAAAAAAAATTTTTTTTTGCAAATCTTTAAACTTGTAGTTAAAACTTTTTTAAAGGATTCAAGAAAACTCACCCTGTGATCTCAATAAGACTTGCTGATCTGAAGGTTCTCAATCTTTAAGAAGCAGCAAAAAAATTTTTTAAAAATCCAAAATGATTAAGAGGTGAGCCTTGGTCGAACCTAGAGTCCATATAGGCTACATTAGCAGCTGTAAGTTTGGTGAAATCCCACAACTCCCAGCCAATTGCAAGCCGACCGCAAAAACATAGTTCCTGCCGTCTGCTCACAAAAAAACCCCAACAACAGCTGTCCAGAGTACATGTGGGTAATCTTGAGATCTCTCCTTTCTCCTGAGAGATTTCAGCAGTCTAAATCCAGCATTTGGACGCCATTTTTGGCCGCAATGCTGTCCCTCTAATCTAGGGACATCAGTTCACTGGCGCTCACCGGAAGTCTTCAGCCAACTTATTTTTTAGGTGAAAGCTTAGAATGAGACATATTTAGAGCACATCTGAGTGGCTTCATTTCCAATTAAGCAGCTACTAACTTTGTGCTCTATGTGTATGTGTGTTTTAGGACATCTGTGACAAATTTATCAAGAGTTCTGAAAGGAGCAATGGAGGTACAGTAATTAATATATTTAGTCATATTTATAGCTTGTTTGCAAATGCTTCAGCCCACCCCAAGACTATATTGAAATAGATACTGTTTCCCCAGACAGTCTTATTCAAACACTGATTAATTATTGACTTTACTGCAATACATGTTTTAGGTGTTATGTCTATTAATGCTTTGATTAAGGCCTGAGGGGCATGCTGTGAGCTAGCTTTGAATTCTTTCATTTTTTTTTTCCTGTGCTGTTCTGTGACCCATTTGCTAGTACCAAAGCTACTGACTTTGAAAACTTTAAAGCTGCCTGTTTTCTCAAGGAATATTAAAAGAAGCTGGTTTCTTTGCCACAACACCGGACTTACTACATACTCATTGCCTGTTAAATGTTGTATTTGGAAATACATTAATTTTAAGCCTCCTATTTCTTTAAAAAAATACCAGAATTGCTCTACTGACACAGATGATGAGCATCTAGAAGATCTTTTACCTTCTTTTATAAGAAAGTCGATCCTGTCCAAGAAAACTCTTGTAAACAGCATACCCCAGAAAAGCACAGGAATTGTAAGTATCATTAAGATGAGATTAGCAATAAAAGGGTACAGTGTTGGAGGGTTTCTGATCAATACTAAATTCTGAGGAGCTTGGGTCTTAGAATTTTAACTACTTTCTTAATATTTTCACCATGTTTAAAATACCTACAAACCTTGAGATTCTGTTAACTTTACTGGTATCACCCTGCTGATTTGGTAATAACCTTGTCAGTACTCAGTTTGCTATTAGAGTGTACAATAGCTCTCATTCCTGTTACTTCTCTCATTGTCTTGAAAAGAAAGTACAGTGGAACCTCGGTTTATGAACTTAATTCGTTCCGTGACTCTGGTCGTACCCCGAATTGGTCGCAACCCAAAGCAAATTTCCCCATAAGGCTCAATGTAATTACCGTTAACCCATTATGGCGTGGGGGCCAGGGAGGCGCCA